TATTAACGAGACGATTATAATGGTGTAACTTGTTAAAATAAAAATGTATTTTTTAAACATGTTTTAATTGATATATGATTATGTATGTTAATTTGATAAAGATTTAAAATGAAACATTTAAAAGTAAAKGACGTAAAGTAAATTAATTAACTAATTATAAGGGTATACAGTGTAAATTTAAAATTATAATTTTTAAAAAATCGGTAAGGACAATATAAAAGGTATCTTGGTCATTTAATATTTTAAGACTTTTGCTTAAATTTGTGTGATAAGATAATATAGATATTAAAAAATTGAGCCTGTGTAAAAAGTAAAGTTTTCCCATATATTTAAAGGTAAAGTGACTCAAATGTTCATATAATACAAGTAACTTAACTTTCTAACCAATATTCTTCGGTCTTTATCTAAAAGTCATTAGGTCCGTAATACCTACTAAACGACAAATTTTTGGGTTTTTTGACCTATGTCCACAACCACATGTCCATAAGTATTTATGGATGCGGCCCAAAAACCTATTTTTCTTTGAAAACCACAGGTCCACAACCACCATCGTAATACCCAATCCACAATACTTAATGTCGTAATGCAGGGACGGACCCAAAAAAATTTCTATACGGTGGCACCATATAATTAATATAATATAATATACATCTAAAAATAATTACAAAAAATATGGTTTTTATGGTACCGATAAACAACTCGTAAATTTGTACCCGACGCGTTTTCATCTTTTGAAAACGGTCAATATATACCCAAAAATAATTACAAAAAAATATGTTGAGAAACAACTTCTAAATTTGTCCTCGGCGTGTCTTCATCTTTTGGAAACGATCGATTACATCTTCGTTTTTAACACTACTAAGGGCTTCCCTTTCTATGGCGCAAATGAGGGCAGAATTCAAAAAATCATCCCCAATTCGATTACGTAAATCTGTCTTGACAAGCTTCATCGCCGAAAAACATCTTTCAACCGTAGCAGTTGCAACAGGCAAAACCAGTGTCAGTTTCAATAACCTGTAGACTAAAGGATGAGAAAGATGTTTTCTTGTTGCAACCATTAATCTGGCGAGGTCGGCAATACCGTTTAAGTTGGCAAATCTGACATCATTATAAACAGAATGATAGTAGATATCAAGTTCATGCTCAAGAATGATCCTTTCCTTGTCTTCAAAATCTCGGGGATACATCTG